GAGATAGTTTTGGGAAGGGCAGGCGCAGAGGGGCACAGGGCTGCCAGCTACAGCCAGTGCCTGTGGGGATATGCCCCCACCCCCAAGGAGTTCCCCAACCTTCTCCTGGCTGCCTCCAGGCTCCTGCACCCCCTTTCCCACCCATCCCTGGGTCCTCCATCTCCTACCCCTAGTGCCCCAGCCACCACCTCTCCATCACCCAGCCCCGTTGAGCCCCTTGTCTCCCTCCTCCTCCAGGCCATGGCTGGAAGCATCACCAAAGCCCTGATGGTGGCCAGCCTCTTCCAATACGCACTGAACGTGGATCTCCCAGCAGTGAAGGTGACGGAAGAGCTCCTGAGGCAGCACGAGGAGCAGCGCAGCCAGGAGATGGCCAAGCTGCAGGAGATGGAGCGGATGATACAGCAGCAGAGCAGACCCACTCAGGAAAGCGTGCTCCACTCAATCTGCCAGCAGTGGTGGTTCTGGAACTGTGTTGAAATGATCCTCACGCTCTTTGGGATCTACTGGCTGCCCAGTCAGAAGAGAGCAGGTACTGGCAGTGCCCAGGAGCAGATGGAGGAGGACAAGCCCTTGGATAAGGTAGAGACCTCCACTGTTTGCCTTCCCACAAACAACGTTCTGACAGCTGCATCCAGCCATGGGAGCTGGCAGCGCCTACAAAGTCCTGAGCACCTGCAAGGACAATATCACTGACCACCCTGAGACCAACTACTGTGCACTTTTTCCACCAGAGCTGGGCACTGGGCAAGATCTGCTGATACCACTGCAGCCATGGAGAGCAGCAGCCACAGAATGTGCCGTGCTTCCTCCTCTCCCACCTGAGGAGGCAGAGTCCAAATCCCTGCTTCCTTCACAGCCTCTGCAAATGGTCCCAGTTGTGATGCTCCCCCTGTCAGGAGATGCAGAAGTGATTTCCCTTGTCCATCTGTTAATAAAATTGTTGATTTGCTTTGAGAAATCCTATGTCTGTGAGGGTCTAGGCAAGACTGTGTTGGGGGATGGCTCCCACCTCCCCTTTGTAACACAGGGATGAAGTTTGTGCTCCCACGGATGTTTGCAGTGGTCACACTTGTGCTTAGACACTTGGCACCTCCCTGTCTTCTCTCGTCCTGGGGTTCTTGCTGTCTCCTCCTCCCAGCATCCTTTCCCATGCCTTGGAATACCTCTGAAATTGCTTCAAAAGATTCTACTGAAATCAGCAGTTCCCTTATAGGGTCTTTTCCTCAAGCTGTTCTTTATAGGATGGTTGTTCCATAAAGTGGAACACCCAAAGGTCTGCAGAGGCCATTTCTGATCATCAGATCTTGACCCACAGCTGAAGCCTCAGCCACCTCTGGACACAGTTTGATGGGTGCTGGGACACAGCCTTGTGCACACAGAGCTCCTGCTTTTCCCCCTGCACTCCCCTTCCAAAGTGGGAGCACTGCCTGTGTCTCCCAGGCTGCTGAGAAGTCCCTCTTGGCACAGGCAGAGCTGTGGCTTTGGCCCAGGTGTCCAAGCCCGGCAGAGGTGGGGCTGCAGGGAAAGACTGAGAAGAGAGAAAATGCTGCAAGGAGGACTGAGGAGGGAGGAAAGAACTGTGAGGGACAATGAGGAGGAGGAGGGAAAGGAGGAGGAGGAATCAGTAGTAAAAAAGTCATTTCCAAATAAATGCTTTTAGGACTAAACTAACATGGCAATCAAGTATTAATAGCTTCTCATGTATTTATTAGTTTTAAACTTTTATATTTCAGGGTTCAAGGGACCTGAGTATGGTCACGTGGTTATTTTAATGGATGTCAGTCCTGAAAGAAGGCATTCCAGTTCCCTGTGCACTACTGTACATGTAAGCTGCACAATAAAATGAAAAGCATTTTCACTCCTATCCCCATTAAACACAGAAAATTTCAAGATATCCAGGGTTTATATGACAGCATTCCACATGTCAGTCTGTCAACAAAGTACAATATGCATTTTTAATTCTGGGAGAGTGTCACTACCCTATAACATCATTGGTATTTTAATTAAGATGCTTCAAAGGAAAGAATAACAGAGAACACTGGGTGAAGAGATTGAATGCCCCCCTAAGCAAGTTTACTGACAATTCAGAAGTGGAGGGAGTTAGCCAATCCACCTGAAGGCTGTGCAGACATTCTGTGAGACCCTGATAGGCTGGAGAGTGGAGCAGAGAGAAACTTAATGAGGTTCAACAAGGACAAGTGTAGGGTCCTGCACCTGGGGAGGAACAGCCCTAAGTACCAGCACAGGTTGGGAATAACCTGCTGGAGTGCAGCTCTGCAGAGAAGGACCAGCAAGTCTTGGTGGGTGACAAATTGACCATGAGCAGCCAGTGTGTGCCTGCAGCCAGGAGAGCCAATGGGATCCTGGGGTGCACTGGGAAGAGTGTGGGCAGCAGGATAGGGAGGGGATCCTTTCCCTCTGCTCAGCCCTGCAGAGGCCACACCTGGAGTGCTGTGGGCAGCTCTGGGCTCCCTGGTACAGGAGAGACAAGGAGCTATTGGAGATTGCCCAGCAGAGACCACAGTGATGAGGAGGGGCCTGGAGCACCTCTCTTGTGAGGAGAGGCTGCGGGAGCTGGGCATGTTCCATCTGCAGAGGAGAAGACTGAAAGGGGATCTCATCAATGCATATAAATACCACAAAGGCAGTGCCAAGAGGATGTGCCAGACTCTTTATAGTGGCCCAGTGACAGAAATAGGAGCAATGGTCATAAACTAAAACATAAGGGGTTCTACCTCAACATGAGGAAGAAGTTTATGTCAAAGCTGAAACAGGCTGCCCAGGATGGTTATGGAGTGTCCCTCTCAGGAGACATTCAAAACCCACCTGGATATGTTCCTGTGTCACACAGCTTTGGGCAGGAGGATTGGACTGGGTGATTTCCAGAGGTCCCTTCTAACCCTAACGATTCTTTGATTCTGTGAACTTGTAAAATCGGTAAGAAACTGCTTGTGTGTGCAAATGTCAAAGAGAAGCATAAAATATGATATGTAAATCATCTTGTTCACCCCTTTTTGTTGCTTTTTCTTTCCCTGTTGCCTTATCTCTTCCCTTCCCCAGTTCTCTAAGTCCCTGAGGCCAATAGTAGAAATCTTCCAATTCCCGAGGGAGCAGCCGGGCTGTCCCCGGCTTTTCCCCGAGGATTTTCCAGGTTCCTGGAGGAAGCGCACGGCCATGGCGGGGTCTGACCGCGAGGGGTCGCCCTTGTACCGGAGGCGAGGCGCGCCGGGCGCCGCTGGATCGGGAAAATCCCCGCGGATCCCCTTTAACCGGCGATGTAAATATTGCTGCATCGTCATTCCCTCGCTAAAGAAGACAGCTTTAATGTAGTCTCTCCATTTTGAAATTATGGTGTTCCTTGGAAGGACATAATTTGCTGATTAGAGATATGTTTGTTTAGCTGCAGCGCCTCAAGTTTCAAATTTGATTGCGTTCATTTTAATCGCATAACTGATCTTATTTTCAGTAACATGGACTTGTTTGTTCCAAATGCGTTTATGAATTCTTATCTCAGTTATGTCACGTGCTGAAAGGGATATTACTAATTCCTAAAATCATAAAACCCCAACTTACACAGAAGAAAAAGTGCTGGAAGAAGGAAGCATCTTCTGAATTTTTTTTTTTTTAAACCGGGCTCAATTTTAAGTCTTTATCCTGCTTATGCTGCCCTAAGGGATAGGCTCCAAAACTACACACGATCCTTGTGCCTCTGATGTGAAAGACCTGTCAAATGTCACACACTGAGTGTGCCACAGATACACTTGGCTCATGTCACATTGCCCCTGCCCGTGGCTACATGTCTTTTGTCTGCCATGCTTTACCATGTCTTCCTTCTTTCTAGATGCAACCTACTCCCAGAAACTGCCAGCTGCTCCAGCTGCCATCCCTTATTCTTCCACCCTACACAACAAGGGATAAGAAAATAAACTAATTGAGGCAGTGGCACTCACAGGACATTTTCCTGGCCCCTGTCCCACCCCTTCTGCCCTGTGATCAGAGTGCCTGCTCATCCTCTGCTTGGAACTCTTTGGGAGAAGAAAAACCTGAGCTTTCTGGGCCTGCAAGGCAAGCACCTAAGAGGATAAATGTCTAAAAAAGCAAGGCAGGGAGAGGTTCTAGCGATGGAAAAAATTGCACCTGGCAAGTCACCTTTAATCCAGAGATGGATTTTCAGAAACTTTCATTTTCAGCCAAGAATTAAAGCAGGACCTACAAAGAAATAACTAATAATATTATAAACACAGGTAATAATCTGTCCCAACCTCACGTGTTTAACAGTCACCTCTGTGGGCCATAGGATGAAGAACAGGGATCCAAGGACATACAATGTCAGCACCAAAATGTTGCTCGAGTTCCACAGAGCTCCTTTCCCAGCCCACTTCCAGCCTGCCACCGAGGAGTGTCCATGCTCTCCAGGATGTGTGTGCCAGGGATGTGGGGCTGCAAGAGTAGGAGGTTCATTACCTTGTTCCAGAGGTTATTTAGGTTCTGTTTTAGGAAGAGGTCATCATGGGGCCATAAAGGACTTGAAGAACGTCCTCTCTCTCCCTTTCTCCAGTGAGAGTGGGGAGAATGCCAGCGGAAAATTCCTGTGCATAATAAGGTCAGATATACTAGTTTTCCCATCTTTTTTAACTACCCAAGCAGTGAAAAGCAACTGGACTGACAGTCAAGGCTGATCCAGACACAGCTCCAGGAAACATTATGCAAGAACAGGACCTTGATGTAAACAGCAGTTCAGGACCTTAATGCAAATGGGAGTCACTGAAAACATCCGGCTGATCGCCTGCTGAGATGGGGTTGTTCTAATCAGGAGAAATATTTGAAAACTGACTCCATCTCCTGAGCACAACAATGCCTAAACCCAAAGGTGGGTATAGGAACATGTCATTGAGCACCCCACAGGGCCTTGGAGTCTCAGAGCCAGCGTGAGCTGGAAGGGAAGTGACATTAAAGAGAGGGAACAGTCTGTATACAGGCCAACATGCAGAGGTTTAATTTCTCCCCAGCAGGTAACAAACACTGACATCTGTGAAAGTCACTGTGCAGTGAATAACAAACACCCAAATGTGGGGCATCCAGAGAGGCACCAGTCCAGCCCTGCCAGCATCAGCAGCTGCACTCCAAGCACAAAGCTTCTACTGCAGTGACTATTGACTGAGCCCAGCACCCCTTTCGGAGGAGAGGCTTCTCATCCAACTGGGTATCAGAGCCTGGCTTGGAGAGCTGATGGCTTTGCTTCATAATTTGGCTCTGACACAAGGGAACAGAGCAGCAAGAGAAGGCAGCAAATGCAGGTAAACCCTTCTGAACTAGTTGTGATTCTAAAAAGTACTGTTGAGCCTCTTCTTTGCAGAAATGATGAAAACAATGCTGTGGCACTTGAAGGGCTGGCTTTACAAACAGCATGGTGGAAACCTGCAAGAAAACCAAGCACTAAATAAGTATGCATAACTGGATTCATATGTTTTTAATGAGATGCAATAATTAAAGTAATAATTAAAGAATGGAAGGGCTCAATTTTAAAATTATTTTCAGACTTATCACAAGTTTTGTTTTCAAATTTGAGCTTATACATACGTACATATATATATATATATAAAAAAAATGTAAGTTTGTATATAAATATCATATACATATGATTTCCTTTATCTACATTGCCTTTTTCATCATTTGTACATATATATATATATAAAAATGTAAGTTTGTATATAAATATCACGTACATATAATTTCCTTTATCTACATTGCCTTTTTCATCATTAAAGATTTTGAATAATCTGCCTTACACAGAGAAGTTTTAATAACCGTGCTTGTAAAGGAAATACAGTGGGTTTTTCCAGCCACTCACTAGTATCATTTTGTGAAGCCTTAAATGGCTTAAAATGCCCTTTAAACAGTCTTAATTCTGCTTACTTCAGAGAAATCTCAACTTACAGAAAGCTGGAAGGGGGGAGTCTTGTTCCAGAGCAGTATTGGTCTGATCCACTCAAGCATGAGCTTTTTATATCAAGTCTGTCAGCAATAATTCTGACCCATATGGTTTACTGAATCAGAGCATAATTTTGTAATATCCCATCCAAATATATATCTTAGTACCTTAACATTTTGCCTTACCAACTAGAATGTTGTCCTGTACTATTCATGAAGCTGTGAATTATTTTTTATATATCCTCTGCCTCTATTTTTTTAGGAAAGCTGTTTGAAAACCAAACAATAGAAAAACAAAAATGCGTAACAGTGTTCTGAAACAAACTTAGATCATGATGTTGTGAACAGTACTGAGAGCAGCGAGGGACTATTCACACTTGCAAGATAAATCCTAGATGCAAATATTTCCTATATCGTAGCTTACACACTTGAGGGTGCAAAAACAAAGCAAAATATTTTTTGTTCAAAGTCCAATAATAACACTTCACATTATATTAATTTATAACTTGAAAATACCCATAAAACCTGCTCCTACTAAAAACCCCAAATCAGAGTACAGTACCTTTAATACTTCTGTTACCTCCCTCTTGGATGCTTAACAAGCAAAATAGCATAAACTTCTACAGATGGATCTTTAGCACAGTTTAGCAGAGCTCTATGCATCCCATCAGAGTAGTGCAGAGCAGTGAAATGAAGACAGACGGTGCAATAAGTGCAAGAGCTGTAAATGAATGTGAACAGAAATTGATTTTGAAATGTTCTTGGCACTTTCCCAAGAAAATATTATCACTGTATTTAAAGAGAAGCATTCCATGCATTGTTTCAGGATTATTAAGAATAAACTCTGACCTCCTTAATTATTTCCTTTTCTGAGACCTATTTTCAGTGCAGCTGCAACATTTACATAAAAACCAAGCAAACTCATATGGATTGTCAAACTTAAATAGAACAAGAATTGTACTTGAGCACCGTGTCTAGTTCTGGGCTCCCCAGGACAGGACAGAGATGGAGCTACTGGAGAGAGTCCAGCAAAGGGTCACTGTGATTTTTAAGGGCCTGAAACACCTCTCCCAAAGGGAAAAGCTGAGAGATCAGTGACTGCTAGGCCTGGAGAAGAGAAGACTCAGGGAGGGACCTCATCAGTGCAGAGGAACACCTGGAGGGAAAGTGCAAACAGGAAGCAGAGCCAGGATTTTCTTAGTGCCCAGTGACAGCACAAAATGCAAAAGGCACAAAATGAAACAGCTCTGTCTGAACATCAGGAAACACTTTTTTCCTGTGAGGGTATTTGAGGACTGTCACAGGTTGTCCAGGGATGTCGTGGAGTCTCTGTGCTCAGATATTCCAAAGCCACCCAGACACAGTTCTGGGCAACTCACCCAAAGTGACCTGCTGGAGAAGGGAGGGGACTTGGACCAGAGTGAGGCTGGACCACTTCCAACCTCAGCCATTCTGTCATCCTGTATAGTGAATTGAGCTTTAAAATGTGTCAATTTAAAAAAATTCTCAAGGAGACTGCAGTATCTTGAGTATCAACCTCATTCATTTTCAATGTTAGTTAAGCCAACTGTTTCATTCTTTGAGTGGACAAGAACTATACACCCAAGGTCAGGTTATTTTATGCTTTCCTAGGTTTACAGCTCTATGTGATAATGCATCAGCACCCCATGGAGAGCAGTCAGTATTCTGCAGATTTCTAAAAGCATCCAAGCCAGGCTGCTCTCAGGTGCACAAAGCTGGACCTGTGTGAATTTGCATGACTCTGTGTTCCCTAACCTAGGCTGCTTACCTCTTAGGGAAAACTGGAAAGAGCTGGGCTAGAAGGTTCTCAGGAAAAGTCTCATACTAAATTTTCATTTTTCAGTTTTGAAACCCCTAATCAAACAAAAAAAACCCCACCCCACCAAAACAAACAATCAAGCAAACATCAAAACACTTGGGAGAGGTTTTGCTTATGGACAATGTTGTATTTGTGTGTGTCTGTGTGTGTGCGTACACATCTTGTAACACACACCATTATCACAAGGCACTATAAAATATGTCAGACTGAGAGACCCAGACTTGGTCAAAGCATGGCCAAGATGGAAATTTTAAAGAAGGTCAAATGCTGCACTAGTTTTGATGATTCAGAAGTTGAAATCTTCCATTTTCATTATCATGTATCTAACTTCCTTAGCATATTGTTAAAGGATAACTTCCTTCTGCAGGAGCTAGCTTTCCTCAAGGACATAAAACCATTATTATCATTACCATCATTAGTTGTACATAAGCCTCCATGACATTGTCTTATCACACTCAGTGTTACACCCTGAAATCCCAGCAATTTGCATCATTCCCCAGTGCCTGTGGCTGTGCCCAAGGCCCAGTCACTGTTCCCAGCTCCCTTCATCACCAGGCAGGGACTCCTCCTGGTGAGGTCCCTGCCCTGGCAACTAGAAGCATGGTTTGTTAATACAAGTCCATTATTTCCATCACAGCAATTATTGAGATCAGCTAACACCAAGGCAATAGCAAAATGTACTAGTCGACTTCTGATATTGATTTTTGTTCCTGTACTTTGAAATGTTTCCAAATTCCGGTTGTGACAAAAGTGTTACAATTAAAATCTTGGCTATCACACTGACACCTATTGTAGAAAAGATGCACTTAAGGAAATTTAGAATTTACAATATATTTTGTACTGACAGACTAATTAATGAGACAAAAAGAAGTATTTGGTTTAAATATCAACAGTAGAGTGCCCAGTGGGATTCTTTGCTTCCTTACTCTATCAGACAATGCCAGAGCCATGCAGAGAACTGCAGATGAATGACTGCTCTCCAAGCTGACAAGAGTACTTGTGTTCAGTAGAAATCACTTTGAACATAAAAAAATGGGATAATCTGCTGGACAAAGAAACTGTTAATTGTGACATGTCTGAGAAAAGTTCTACCATCCTGTTTATCTGAACACGCTCAAGGCAAGGGAAGGAAAACCAGGGATAACAAAGTCTATGGAAAAAAGTTCCGGATAGGGTCAAGATACTGCTCTTTTAAAGTTAGAGTTTTACCAGCTAATCCAAAACTCTGAATTTCAAACTTCCTGCTCTGCAGAAAGCCCTGGCATTTGTGAACAGCTGAAGAGTGATTCACTCATCACAGGTAGTTCTACATAAAGATACTGAAAAATACAATATTCTCTTCAGAGATTCTGCAACAGCTGGTATGTTTCTACCTAAGCTGAAATCCTTACCAAAATCATCCTACCTCACCAAATGGAAAATTTGACATTTTGTAATAAAAACCAATTCTGTAAGCAATGGGTACATCTACCCATGCTTTTAGTATTTTGTTACAAAAATCTCTAAGTTGCCACAAAACAACAAACAAACCCCAAAACCCTCTAATCTTCTCTCTTAAGGAAGACACATGTATGACTGTCCAGGTACCTATTCAGTATTTCCCTCTATCATATAATTTCTCATGTTGGCCAATTTCTACCATATTTGGTAATTAAGACAGAGAATCTCAAAGAAATTAAACTCCTGCTAAATTCCCAAATTTTATCAATCTGAGTAGTGGACAAAAATTCAGTGGGCTCCTGAAGCAAAAGGTAATTCAGTGCAGCCCTGTATTCTTCTGATGTGTAATTATCACTGTGATGAAATGGCAATGCATGCACCAAAACCTAGGTTATGCAGAAATTGTATTTGTATTATCAACAAGTTACAGGAGAAAAGGGTGACTCAGGAAAAGAGATTCTGTTGTGCAATGCCAAGAACATTTCATTTTCAAAACAGGTGTTCATATCACTGCCAAATGATCATTATGGGACAAGAACCACAAAACCTTTTGGTGTAGCTTTGTAAGTGGAGTCCATACAGAACAGGGCAGCTCAACCTGAGAAATAAAAAAAAAACAACTTATGGTAGGAAACCAGAATATATTGAAACAACCAGAAACTGCTGGGACATTTTGGCTCCCAAATAACAATGCTATGAAGCCCTTGGGGCTGCCTCCACTGCATGACTACTGGTCAGACTATTCCAAATATTGACTACTAGCATGGTCTGTGCAGTGCAGTGATAATTCCATCCAGCCCCCACCCTTCTTTCCCCCACAAAGAACCCTCAGCAGAGAATACTGGAAATATAAATACTTTTTTTCTGATGTGGGCATGAAACAGCTCAGCCTAATTCATTCCTTTCTGCCAAATGCCCCAGAGCCAGCTACCCATTAAAAGTGAACTGACTGCAGGGCTGGGCTGTAAACCCAGAGTCTCTTGGATAGGAGTGTAGATTCCAGGGACAAAGCCATCCAGGCAGGAAAGGAGCTAACTGCAAAGCTGACCTGTAGCAGCAAAACTCTCAAGAGAGGGAAGAGCAGCACTGGGCAGTAAAGAACCAAGGGCTGATACTGATAGGTAGGCTAGGAACTGAGTTTGGATTTAATAACAGGTTTGCTCAAACCAGCCTTGAAAAGCCTGTAGCACAACCCTGCTGATGTGTTCACACTATTTAATACAACCCTGTTGCTGAAGCTCAAGTGTTGTGCATGGAGCCCAGTGTTCACCTTCAGCTCAGGAGGGGTGTGGAATACTGGGTGAGAACAAAACTGCAGCCATATGGATATCCCAAAGTCCTGAAGGCATACCAAACTGGTACATCAGTAAAAAGTATAAAAGACAAATGACAGATCAATCCATTAAACACTTGTTTGGAGATGCCTCCAGTCCCTACACAACAAATGAATACAGACTGTTCTCTTGGAAATACCAGGCACCTGGATTCCTCAAGGGAATCTGTAAATAAAGAAGTAGAAATGAACCAGCATACATGAACGAGTACACCAATAGGTGCCACTTTGAGCAAGGGTTGAACTAGATCTAAAGTTCCTCCCAAGCCTATTTATTCTATGATTAGAAATTTTATCAATACGTACAGCAAGAAAATCTCCAGAATATGTGTTCTAGAATGGTGGATTTACTAATACAGAACAAACAGCTTCAAGGCTTCAGCTCCCTCCTCCTTGTACAATCCACACTTTTTTTCCTGGTCTTTGGCTTGTGGCATTAGATTTATAGAGCAAAGAGGAGGCACAGCATGCCCAAAGCAAACAAACCAAGGAGATGCAGAAATGCAGAGGAGTGAAAGAGGAATTCACATTTTTTGTCAAGCTCACACCAGTTTTGCTCTGAAGAGGAAGGAAAATCTCAAATTATCTGGTGAGAAACAGATGCACTACACCTGAGAATCAGCCCAGCTTCTCCTCCAGTTGTATTAGGACTGCACTTGTGCTTTTTTGAGAGAAAAAGATACAGAGCACAACCTGAAAGCATGAAACTTTGGTACACCAGCAGTTTAAGATTTGGGGGGTTTGCAGCTACAAGAAGGATGTGTTTTTTTCAATGCATCTCTCCCTTTGGCTTTGGTAGTTTAATACTCATGCAAAAGAAGTACAGCAGAAAGTGTCATCCTCATTTCTTGCTCGAGTGCTCTGTGGCCTTTGCTACGCTCTCTTTATTTCAACAGAAGCCTCCCAGAGCACAGAAGGTGTTCCTTCTTGGTATGTCATTACTGATTCCTTTTTGACTCTTATGTAGAAAAATGTTTCTAATTCAGCTAATTTTCTTACAAAATCTGTATTATTCTTAAATCCTTTGCTGCTGAAACTGGCAGAGATCCAGTTCCCTTTGCTGAGGTTCTCAAAATGAGAGGGCCTTTTTAATTTGAAAAGAAGACTGAATAGATGAAGCAAGCATCCCCAAAATGTCAAATAAATTATGTCAGAATTAAAAATAAAACTCCCAAATTTTAACTTAAAAAAGCATTTAGGGAATACACTTGTCTAGAACCAACAGAAATTCTGCTGCAAAATCTTTAGCTACAGTGTCAACCCTATCAATGGGCATCAACAGAAGCCAGTTTATGACAGAAAATAACAAACAAATGAGATGTCCTAGCCATTTGCAGAGCATTTCCACATTTTCAATGCTGAAATTGAAAATGTGCAAATGGCCTGCAAATGGCATTTGCAGGGCATTTGCAATGTGAGGGATCTGGAACGTATGTGGGGTATCTGGAACAGAAACATGGCACTGAAGTGAAGAAACCAAAATCAGGGGGTGAAAGCAAATAGCTCTGAGCAGATCATAAACCACATAAACAAGAAGGAAAGAGAAAGGACAAATCAGTTGAATCAAAAACAATGTGTGAAAGTGCAAGTGAGGAGCTGCACAGGGTTAAAGGAATTTGGCTGAAACAAGTAACCAGCACAAAGCTGAGAGAAGCCAGCCACAACTTCACAGAAAGTCTTTCAACATCAAAAGGACAGAGCTCTGATGCTTGTTACTGCTGTGCCAGCTGCTGGTTACTGCCTGGAGCCTCCAGCATGCTGCACCTTCCACCTCTCTTTGGGAAAGTCCTCAATTACTGCGGCTGCATGTCCAGAGAAAGTACCAGAAATTACCAGGTGCCCATGTCACAGGTCTTTGATGATAAATTCACTTATGGTGCAGAAGTTCAAATCATCCAGGGTAGAAGTGACAACTGTGTACTTTAATAATGAAAGAGTTGCTCTTAATCTCTACTTCAAGATTTTCCTTTTTTTTTTTTTCTTTTCTTTCTTTCAACTGGAATCTATTCACTGACCTAAATTTTCTGTTCCTCCTAAGCTCTGCTTGGCTCATGCATGAAGGAAAGGGGCCAAAGATGGCCTTGTGCCACCACTGGTCTGCTGGCGACTTGCTTAGCTTCCCATGTAAATTGGCCTCGGGCTGCCCTCGTTTGGGTTGGGCACCATCCTTCAGCTTTGGCTGCAGCATCCCCCCACCCTGTTCCACAGCCAGGAATAACTCAGCAGCTCTCCGGCCACCCTCCCAGCCCCTGGATCTCTCCAGCACACCAATTAACCCCTTTTCCTCGGGGATGCACAGCCGGGTCGGGCAGAGGTGATGCACCAGCTTCCCTGCGTGAAGGAAAAGCCCCACGGCAGGACAAGCAGGACACCAGACCCGGGTCAAACCCCGCGTGTCTCATCCCGGAGCTCCGGAGACCCGGGCCGGCCACAGCCGCCCCGGGCGGCCGCCGAGCAGCGCTGCCGAGCGCAGGTGGGGCGGCGGCGGGCGGGGGGCGCCGGCAGCTCCCGCCCGCCGCTCCCCGCTGCGCAGAGCGGCCGCGCCGGCGGGGGATGGAGAGCCAGCGCTGCTTCGCCAACCGCTTCGATGACTACCCGGGCAGCCCCGCGGCGGCGCCGGACAGGGAGGCGGCGGTGCCGCTGGTGACGGCCACCATCGAGCGCATCCTGCGGGAGCTGCCGCCCCTGGGCGGCCCCCGCGGCTGCCCGGGCGGGCTGTACGGCGGCGTGGCCGGCGTGGCCTACATGCTGTACCACGTCGCGCAGTGCCCGCTGTTCGCGCCGTCGCGGGACTCGTACCTGCGGGCCGCCCGCCGCGTCGTGGACGCCTGCCTGCGCTACCAGGAGGGATGCGGCGAGGCCGACGCCGACACCCGCGCCGCCTTCCTGCTGGGCGGCGCCGGGGTGTACGCGGTGGCTGCACTGGTCTACCGCGCCCTGGGGCTGCCCGAGTACGCGCGGCCGCTGGGCAAGTTCAGGGAGCTGAGCGAGGTCTGCGCCCCGCTCTCCTTCCTCGAGTGCGGCTCGGACGAGCTGTTCGTGGGCCGCGCCGGGTACCTGTGCGCCGCGCTGGTGCTGAAGCAGCGGCTGGGCATGGAGGTAAGGGCGGCTGTCCGCGCCGTGCCGGGCCGGGACGGTGCCCTCGGTGCTAGAGGGGAATGCGGCGGTGCCGCGGCTGGCTGCGGCTTGCGCTTTCGGGGTACAGCTTCAGAGCCCCCGGGGAGCTATTCTCTGGGAGCTGTTCTCTTCAGCGCTGCTCCCCGAAGGGAAAAGACGCGGCTTTGGCCGGAGGGAGCGGGATGGGGTCCCGGCTGTGGAGCGGAGCGCTGCGTCCCGCGGCACGCCGAGAGCATCGGCTGTTGGTACAGGATGGTGAATTAGTTAGCAGAAGCCACCCCGGGCTTTTCAAGAGTGTTTCCGTAAAATGAAGTGGGTGAGAAAAGAAATAGCGTTGAGTACAACAGAGCGAGGAACCCTGTAGACTAAGCGGTTCTGTGGTGTAATTTGTGAGCAAGAAGCAAGGAGCCACATCTTCAAAGCCATATGGTCTCACAAATCCAGCATACAGACTTTCGGAGATCTGGCCGTGTATTTTGGTGCTTTTCATGAATGAGAGCAGGGAGTTTTTGCTTGGGAGAGTGAGATGTGGTTATGGTTAAACATAGTGTTGGTTTCAGTAGTCGGGACTTTACCCCAGGACGTTGTCATTGTCAGTACAATTCAACTGACGTTTAAGAGCTTCCACTGATTATGGCATAATAATTATTGCAACTGATTGTGTTTGCTGTGGTGATTGTTACTAAGTGTCAGTGTGGTATCTGAGCAGGCAGTTGGTGGGTTTTTTTTCCCCTGTCCTCTTGTCGGGTCCAATCTGTGTTTCCCGTGTTAATCACTGATTTGCAAGTTCATATGCTTCTGGCTTTCTTCCCTCCCAGGAGAGGAAGCAAGATTTATTTATAAGTAAATAAATGATGTAAAACTAGTGGCTCTGCCCCATCCAATACCAGTCACTGCAATTGGAGTCTGAGGAGATTCACTTAATGGAGGTCTCAGGAGGCTCCAGGGTATCCAGAGAAGCCAGGAAGAATGTTAAATACTGTGATTGCCTTGAACTAGAATTCCTAACCACACTAAGCATTTCAAGTAGCATACCAAGCCTGCTGTTTCTTTGACACGATTGTCTGACAATCATAACCGTAAACATGGTTATGCTATTTGTAACCATAACATAACCAAATTTTTCATTTGGTAGTCTTTTCCATGACAGGAAAGTTTTGTAGACACGTCACAATCCCTTGTGCAGCAGTGCCTGCCTGAAGGGATGGTTTGTCATGGAGAAAGAAGCCATCCCTCTTGGTTCAGTTTGCACTGGGGGAGTGTGTCCTGCACCCATGTCAGTGCTTATGATGGTGTTGTGACATTCCAGCAGAAGGAGGTGGCACCCTGCACTCCACTGCTTTATTTAATGCAATTTCCATTTGCCTTACATCCCTGAGAGCAATTGCTGAACAGTTGGGAGAGTGGGTGCAGGCACCTCTCACAGGCAGCGTGAGCAGTGGGAGAGCTCTCCTCTGTTTGCTTGCTTGGTGAAAAATTGTACTGAAGGCAGCTGTAAAGAGTGACACATCCCCACAGATAAGCACAGGTGTGCACTTACTGTGGAAACGATTTAGCAGGTGGGTTAATTGTTGTTTTGCCAGTAAAACATATCCTGTGACCCCCTTGCTGATGTTTTCATTGATGAGCTAATGTCCTTCTATAGTATTATTTCTTCTGTCAAATATATTGTAATTTTTAATGCATAGTGCAAGAAACAAAGCACACCACTAATCATTAATAAAATCAAATTATTTTGTAAAATGTTAACAAATATTTTAAAAACTTGCAACTGAAATATTTTGCTTCTTTGTGAGAATTATGATTCCTAGTCTGTATGTAATCAAGCTTGAGCAAAATTTCCTTCGATAAATATTCCCAGCCTAGTACAGAATTATTTTAATTAGTACATTGCCAGACCAAACCTTGCATCTTTTTACAAATGAAGAAAGGGATGCCCAGAGAGAGTGCATGTCATTTACTACCCAAGGTCAAACTGTAAGCCAGGTACATCCCAGAATAGAAGCAATATCTTGTGATTCGAACCGCTGGAAAATGCTACCTCCTGTAATTTGATTGTGCACAGCCTCACATGGCTCATTGCAGCATGTTTGCTTGTTACCCACGTTCTTTTTTTTTCTTTTTTCCTTTTTTTTGAGGACACTGTGCAAATATTTCCAGCACAAAGTGAAATACATTCCTTATGTTGAAACACAGCCACTGCTGCTCGCATGGTTTTTTCCTCTGAAGGAGTCAAATGATGACCTACATACAAGAAATCACTTGTCCTTGAAAAAAGCCTTTTGAGGGAATTTTATAGTTTATGTCTTGTATTTGTTTTTTGTTTAATCCGAGCAGGGAAGGAAGGTGACAGGTTTATTTCAGCAGACACACATTTAGCTCAGCTGCTGTGCCCCAATACTTTAGTGTTTTGCTAAAGAGTCCTGGTGTCTTTAAGCTCCACATGTTCTTCATGAAGTTAATGGACTGTCCTGAAGGATCCCGTCTGTTGGATAACACTGACCTCATGTGCAGAAGTCATTTGCATTCAGCTAGTTTTCAGATTTTTAGGCTAATACAGCATTTTTCCCTGATTAATTAATTGGGATTTTTTGCATGAGTAAGGATTACTTCAGCAGTCAAGGCTTAACAGGATTTGACTTTCATGATGCACTGTGCATTAGGAAAGATGTTTATTTTCATCCCTTCTTTAATTTCCATTATATTGCAGTCAGTGCTTCCCAGACAGAGATAGTTAAAATATTGTTTTGGCAAAAACAGTGTGTTGTTTGTATAAGGTGCATGTATTTTAGCTGTCCTTAACTGCTGTGTTTTCACCATTCAGGGAGGAAAATTGTTTTATTCTCTCTTAAGTACATCTTTTCCTAATGCTTGTAGTGTTGGTTCATTGTGTGTCTTTGGGGAAATCTGTCAGTCCTGCTTTTAATTACCTTCACTCCCTCTCTGTTTGCTCGGGCAAACAGCAGTAAGACCCCATTAAAATGGTGGTCCCATCCCTCTGTTTGGATGATATCTTATCCTCTCCTCAATTTTTCTCCGTGACGCTTCAGTCCCATTTCGTGGTTGATGGAGCATGGTGTGCCTGGGTCGATGCACTCCCTTCTGGCAATGTAACTGTCAGATGATGGGAAAGGTACAGAAGTTCAAGTGGCTCCTTGTATTACCATCTGCTAAAGATGTTGCTGCCTTTTAGCACAGCTTGGGTTATCTTTTAATAACTGATCTGTGGATGGGCTCCACTGACTTCCACTGGCTCAGGGTTGCAGCAGCAGCACAGACAGCAGTGGTGCCCTGGGCAGCATTTGGCACAGCCTGGGGCTGTGGTTTCATTGCAGACCCTGCTTACAAAAGGCTTTGGGGACCCCGTTGTCAGAACCCAGGATATGTCTCTGGATGCCCTGGATGGCTCAAGACCCTGGCAGGAAGCCAAAGACACCTAGGAATTCGATCTCAACCCATGGAGCAAATTACCAGCTTTATATGAAGAATTACAAGTCACAAAAGTTTAAGTAGCATAACAGTAGTGGCCACAGTGTGAAAGGTGCAATTTTGAAGAATTTTACTATGGAGGTCTAGGGGGACAAGATGGAGGGATTTAGGCGTTGTCCTGTCCCTCTTCCTTCTTCTTCCTAGCCTCCATCTTCTTTCTATTCTAAACCAGTCCCAAAGTGCTAGTGATGGTGGCACTTTGGGATTGGTTTAGAATAGAAAGTCACTGTCTAACATAGGTGATAGGTATTGGAAAATAACTGTAAATATCGAATACGTAGTTTGTAGTATAAAAGACAACACCAGCCCCGTGGGAGGGCAGTGTGCCTCAGACTGACCTGCAGGACAGATCTCAACAGGCCAGACAGAAAATGTTTTAGATAAAAAATAGTAAACAAACTTGAGAACGCGAGCTGAAGACTCCTGATCTGTTCTTCGACAGCTGGGTTGGGGAAAAGAGACTTACAACACACCTCGGGATCATCTCAACCAGAAGGAACCCCAAGACCCCATGAGAGACCCTTGCTGTGGTTGCAGGGGTGACAAGGTGAACTAGCACACACAGAATCCCCATGTCAGGCTTTAAGGTGGCAGCAATGTGGCCAAACCTGTTTCCTCAGGGGCCGAGGCACTGGGGAGCCTTGTGAGCCTGTAGAGCTCTCCAGTGCCACAGTGGTTCCTGTCTCTGTGGCAGAGGGACATCTCAGTTTCCTTTTCCAGCCAGTGCTAGGTCACAATTGGTGTGTGTTTCCAGGGGTGTTATCCTGTCAGAGTGTGCATAATTCTGATATTCTGTCAGGGACTGCCCAAAAAGAGCCATGGTTTTTCTAGCAGGACCTCCTTGAGTGTAAATGGTGAATGGTGAAAACCATTTCTATCCTGTCTGCCATCTATCACCAGAGCCTCTTTTGTCCTGCACCTCAGGAGACTGCAAACCAAGCTGAATGAGTCACCTGGTGTGTGGAAAGCAGGAATAGCTCTGCTGTGGGATGTCTGGGGTCTGGGTGCCAGAGTATGGAAATGTCAGGCAGTATTTTAAGAGGCAGTGGAATGGATAGATGTGCAATGTGTCGATCCAGTTAGTGTGTATTTTGTGATATTCTGGGAGAGAACATACAAATGAATGAAAACTATTTTCTTTCAGCTCCTCAGACTATTCTAGGTGATGTTTTTGGTTCCTTAGAGCCTTCCCTCCAGACAGCCAGTGAGTGTTTAAAGACTCTTTAGGCTACTTTGCTCCACTTTTTTCTTTTTCTTCAATCTCTTAGGAAAAAATGGGAAGTGTGAGAGAAAGAATCTTCCTGAAACCTGCCTAGAACATGTTCATTTGCAACTCTTTAATGTGGAGTGTATTAATGCTGGACATAGGGTTTCTGAAGGACATACAAATTAAAGATCTTCAAAGGGAGTTCTGCAAAATACCCACAAAACTGATGTTTCTCCAAATGCTGTAGTGCAGAATCCCCATGTCAGGCTTTAATTCTCACCTGTGC